AGCCCTGGGTCCCCCGGCCCCGGATCCTCGCACCAGCCCTGGGTCCCACCGCCCTGCCATATGGTTTGCTCCATCTAGTCTGTGGTGTCACCCACCAGACCCCTAATTACTCCTCTCCTACGTGAATGCAAGATCCTAGTCTTTGTCTTTTCCCCTCCTAACCCCAGCTCCGTCTGGTCTTCTCCTGTTAGTTCTATTTCAACAGCATCCAGAAGCACAAACCGTGATCAGGGGCTCCCTACGGGGGGCTGCCCAGGCTCCGAGTGACAGACAGGCCCCCAAACGCTCACAGTCCAAACGGCAAAGACTGGGTGGGAGAAAGGAAGGCTCCGCATCCCCGTTTCATGGTCAATTCCCAGACCAGCCCATGTCTATAAGAAACCAGACCAGCCCCCCAGCCCGGTGCCTGCCTTACCCCATCGCGCCATAGGGCCATCAGAACTGGTAGCCTTCCCCGACAGCGGCCAACAAGTGCAGCCCCCAAGTGCAGGAGATGCAAAGGTGGAATAAACCCCCATCCCTGGGCTGTGCCGTAAGAGATGTAACCCCGCATCTAGCTCCCTAGCTCCACCCCTGGCGGGGGCATTCACAGGGCCCCTGTCTCCTTCGTACCAGCAACTCCCATTTGGACCCAGAGGTTTCCATTGCTGTTAAATCTCCCCACACTCAGCCCTTAGCTTCTATTCTTCCCCCTAGCCTTGCCGAGGGGCTGTTAAGCACTATGATCCCCATTGCAGAGATGGGGAAACCGAGGCCCGGAGCTTGCACCTGCCTCGCCCAGGGTCACACAGCAGGAGTCACTGGTACAGCTGGGAGGAAATGCTCGGGTGCTGTGCCCACGAGACCACATGACTTCTCATCGTCCCACACGCCCAGGCACAGATGCAGCCCCGGCTTTTCACTGGCAGCAGCAGCAGCGGTTCAGAGCCCCTGAGGGGGCCCAGCGGCGAAGCCGGTGCTGACCCCAGCTCCCATTCCAAAGGGAGACGCCGGGCTCCCCAGATCTGCTCATCAAACCCACGCAGGCCAAGCGGGAGGGGCGGCCCCAAGGGGTGGTGAGAGCAAGACAGACAGGGACGCAGGGGTTACGCTCCGGTAGGGTGACCAGACAGCAAGTGGGAAAAATCAGGACAGGGAGATGGGGGGTAATAGGCGCCTATGTAAGACAAAGCCCCAAATATCGGGACTGTCCCTATAAAATCAGGACATCTCGTCACCTTACACTCCAGGCTCAAAGGCAGGCTCTGAAGAAAGGGCTGGGGACGGGGCTACGGAGACAGGCCAGTCGTCAATCCTCAAGCTGCAGCAGCTGAGGGCACGACTGTTACGTTCGCGCCCAAGGCCCCAGCTAGGATCAGGGCCCCATGGTGCCGGGTGCTGCACAGATGTGGGGAGAGACTGTCCACGGCACAAGGAGCCTACACTTGAAATAGACAAGAGAGGCAAAGGCAGGGCCACTGTACCCATTTCACAGATGAGGGGATAAGGTGCAAAGAGTCAGTGACTGGGCCATGGCTCCATAAGGATCAGTGGCAGACCCAGGACTTGAACCTGGCCCAGCGCCCCCAACCCTAAGGCTGGCTGGCTGGCCAGCCTCCCTCTCTCACGAATCGCTTGGATTTCCCTGGCCCCTGGCACGCCAATGGCATCACCTCACCCACCGCTGAACTGCAGCCACCTCTGGGGTGGAGCGCAGCAGCTGGCAAGCAGCAGTTGCACAGGGCAACCCAGACTGTGCTAGTCTTGGAGCTTGAGACTGAGGGAGAATGACCAGGTCGGCTGGCCAGGGTTTGGCGATCCTGGAACCGGCGCTGCCTCCTCACAGGTCGCTGGTGCGGGGAACGTGCTGGAGGAATCGGTTCTGCCACCCCACACTGCAGCGGGAGGAGAATAAACCCCTGACTGTCAGCATGGGGCCCTCTCCTCATTCCGCCGCCTGGGCCCACGCTGCCGATGGGCCATGGAAGCCCAGGCCTGGGAGTGAAGGGGACTCCGGGCAGTGCGGCTCCCCGGCTGCACCAGGGAAGCTGGCAGAGGGTCGGCCCAGCCCTGCATGCTAATCAGCCTCCTTGGGTGTTCTCCAGCCCAGCGGAGGTGGTGAGGAACGGCGATCAGCCGGAACCTCCCCCGCTGCTGTCACGTGCCCCCAACGCCGCAGAAGGGAGCCCTGGGCTCGGGGAGACGCTGGCTGGGCGTGGGATGGGGCCGGGATTCCCTGGGTTTCATGCCGGAGGGACTGACTCCCGTGGGGTGACTCCTGCTTTGCAATGGGTGGGGGCTGGGGTACGTGCTGCTTGGTGGGGAGCCAGCGCTCCAAAATCTCCCCCACCCGCTGGATGCAGCATATCAGGGGTCTCCTCCTCCTCCGGGAAACCTCCATCTGCTGCCACCCAACCACATGGGTCAGGCAGCCAGGAGCTCGCAGGACCCCCAGCTGGCAGGATACCGGAGTGTGGGTCCGGTTGGACGCTACCCTCTTGCCCCACAGAGCAAGCCTACAGCTCTGGAGCAGGCTCAGAAGGGGAAGGGAGGGGCACGGCCGTCAGCGCTGGTGCAGAGGGGCAGGAGAGCGGCAGAATGGGGGCTGGGGAAGGCTGAGAGACCCAGGATTTCCTGAGGGCCGGCTACAGTGTGTGCATGGAGGGGGGAACCCCACGGAGGTTTCATTTCCCCATCCCAGGTCTCGGAATGGGTAACTGGTGGGTGTGGGCTGGAAGTGGTCCAGACGTCTGAGCACACGTCCCCTGGGGCCCAATCCTGACCCAGAGGCATAGTCCCATGGAAGTGGATAGAGTTACTCACTTGAGTGAGAATTAGCCATGTGAGTAGGGGGTGGCAAAAATCAGGCTTCTGCATGTTGTTCTTTCGTTAACACTTAGGGGACCCAGCTGAGATCAGGGCCCCACTCTGCCAGGCGTGGCCCAGACACTGAGAGCCCGTCCCTGCCCCAGCTGAGATCAGGGCCCCCTTGTGCCGGGCGCAGCCCAGACACAGAGAGCCCGTCCCTGCCCCAGCTGAGATCAGGGCCCCCTTGTGCCAGGCATGGCCCAGACACAGAGAGAGCCCGTCCCTGCCCCAGTTGAGATCAGGGCCCCCTTGTGCCGGGCGCAGCCCAGACACAGTGAGAGCCAGTCCCTGCCTCAAAGAGCTCACCGTCTAGACAAAGGAAGGCTCATTAACCCCATTTCACAGAAAGGAAACTGAGGCCCAGAAAGATTAAGGCCCACATTTTAGAAGGGATTAAGGTGCCTAAACACCTTTAAAAATCTGGGCAATCTCCTCGCAGCTAAACCACCCGTCCTCTCAACGTCTGGTACTCCTGCCGTGCGCCCATCGGTCCCTGAGTCCACCCCACAGGAGTCCAGTTCCAATTCTCTTCCTTCCCCACGCGCCTCTGCTAACGCCCATCTCCCCTTTGACACTGAAACCCCCTGGGCTGGAGGTCTGTGCCCACCCCGGAATGGATCCTGGCTGGGCCAGTGCTGGGCCTAGAGGAGAGATGGCTCACGACCCGCAGGGGGTAACCACTTCTCCCCACCCTCTGTGGGTTTTCTTTTTATCCACTCCAGCTTGGTTTCTGACCCCTCCCCAGCAACGGGCAATGGATCTAGAGGCCAGGTGGGGAAATGACTTGCAGCATCTGGCGATCTGGGTTTCCAAGCAGCCCTGCACGGCCAGGCAGCTCCGCAGTGGCACCGTGGGTCACGTCTGCACAGCAGCTGCTGTTTTAGCTATTTAAAAATAAAAAGGTGTGTGTGTGAGGGGGCAGGGGGGTCTGTACAGCCAGAGGAGCTGGGAATGGGGGGGGGACATTCTTCTAAATTCCCTTCTCATCGCTAGCCAAGGGTCCGTTTTTTTCCGCCTACTGGATGAAATTCACCCCTGTGCAAAGGGCCAGCCCAGCAGTCCTGACTTCCAGCCCCCTGCTTTAACCTACTAGCCCCCACTCCACACCCAGAGCTGGGGATAGAGCCCAGGAGCCTTGACTCCCAGTCCCCTCTCTCTAACCACTACAGCCCCCTTGCTGAGGGGTGGCACTGCCCAAGAACCGCGCCGTCTGTTTGCCCTTGAAGAGTCCTTGTGGCATCGTCCCCACTGAGAAAGCCCCAGGCCCCTGCCCCAGAGCAGCCTGGGCCAGGGAACATGCAAGATGCAGTGCTGGGGCCTGCCTTGCTGCCTGGGGTGGACTTCCCAATAATAGATCAGCACTTTCTATTTTGATAAGATGCCACAGTGCAGCCATATGGCCAATTCGCTGCCACCGGCACAGCATCTGTAGCAGGGTTGGCTGGAAGATCACAGTCTTTGAGGGGGCGGGGGCTGGCTGGCTGCCGCCCCTTTTTGCCTTGGGGTCCCCGGCTTGGAGCTGACTCAGTTCTGCAATGACAGAAAGACAGTGGCATCGCCGTCCAAGGTGAAAGGACTGAGTTTGGGGGCTCTCAGTCCAGTAGCAGGAGGACACTAAATTCGCCAGCACTAGCCAGCCGGGCTCTCGGCAGGCTTAGCAGACAAGCTGAGGATTGAGACGGCCATAGAGAGGCAGCTCCCTTCTCTGCCTAGGGAGAAGTCAGGGGCTGGAGGATGAATAAAAAGGTTTCGGTCTGCAGGGCTTTCAAATCGGCACCTTCAGCCGCCAATAAACGCTTGGGAAATTGAAACCCCCCACCCCGCGCCCTGCAACACTCAGGGGTGGGCGCTGCCTGGGGAGAACCTCGGCTCCGATTCTGCCGTGGGATGAACCCAGCACCGGAAT